AGCAACATTAAAACACTGAAAATGACTTGTTTTGACAGCTATTATGACTGAATTTAGGTAAAGGTCATGGATGTATAATGTTAAACTCATGTGTGTGAGTTCAGAGAGCTGTCTGCTCAGGGAGGAACCTGCAGAAGAAGCACGGCCTCTCTGATCACTCCTCCTCGTCTGTCTGATAACGTGTATTTAAGCTTTCCCCACCTCTTTGTCTGAGCAGATCTCACGACCGAGCATGTAGTTGTTGTACATCTGTGTGAGCCTGTGTTTTCACATCTACCCTTGCAAGTAAACTGGGTTGAAACAGTAAACTGGGTTGAAACATCTTCTGGTGTCCTCGGTGTGTTTTATTGAGTAAGGAGATGATGAAAGGATACGGTACTTATTTTATCCAACAATGGCTTTGAAACGTGTGTCTGTATGTCGGTTTGTGTTGCATCCACGGTGCTAAAAGATATAACTGGCATAGTTTGTTGAATTTATTATAATTTATTTTCTTGAACGCTCTGGTTTGTGTTGTGTATTTTAACGCAGTGTTTAGGTCACAGTCATAAAAAATGCAGAAGTTGTTGTTCCCAGCCAACAGGTCGACGTATTGATTCTCTGAACATAAACTTCCCTTGTGAGCAAAACCTTTAACAAGTTCTCCATAATTCAACCGAACTGTTTTCCAATTGTCAAAGAGTTCGGACTTAACTCTGTTTTGTGTATTGGTGTTTCATGATGTGACCCTTCACAAGAAAAATCCAGAGTATGTCAAGGATTAAACTGCTAATCTCCCAGTTAAAGAACGAGAGGATAAGAAACTGAGATAAAGGCCGCTGCAAAGTGTAGAAAATATCTAACGTTGCTGTTTTTTATTTTATCTACAGTGACTTCAGAGAAAAGCATTCGCGGGTCTCCCTCTATTGCACAATCGTTTATTTAGAAAATAAATCTGGCTGAAAACCTGAAATCAGACAGAAGGAAAATCCTTTTAGTTGTTACATGAATGAATCCAATCCAAGACTACGAGCATGTCTTAAAGACATAAAAACCTGGATGACCCTAAAATTTCTGCTTTTAAACTCAGACAAGACTGAGGTTTTAGTTTTCGGACCTGAGCGCCTTAGGAATGAATGTTTCAGTCTTTCTCCCTCTTTAGATGCATTAATCTGTCCTCCAGCTCTAATGTTAAAAATCTTGGTGTTATTTTTGATCAGGACGTGTCTTTTATCCCCCACATTAAAAACGTTTCTAGAACCTCCTTCTTCCACCTGCGTGATATCACTAACATTAGAAACATCTAAAAATGATGCAGAAAAACTGGTCCATGCATTTGTCACGTCTAGACTGGACTATTGCAATGGTTTATTATCTGGGTGTCCAAATACTTCTTTAAAACGTCTTCAGTTGATCCAACATGCTGCTGCCAGAGTCTTAACTGGAGTTACTGGGAGAGATCATATCTCTCCAGTTTTAGCTTCTCTCCATTGGCTCCCTGTCAAATCCAGAATAGAATTCAAAATCTTACTTCTAACCTACAAAGCCCTCCACAACCTAGCTCCATCTTATCTTACAGATCTTATTGTTCCATATTTTACTAACAGAGCACTTCTCAGACTGCAGGTTTACTTGTGGTTCCTAGAGTTTCCAAAAGCAGAATGGGAGGAAGATCTTCCAGTTATCAGGCTCCTCTCTTGTGGAACCAACTTCCAGTTTCTGTCCTTGAGGCTGACACATTGTCCAGTTTTAAGACTTTCCTTTCTGATAAATCCTATAGTTAGGGTTGTTATGCTGCTATAGACTTAGACTACTAGAGGACAACTGACATCATTTCCTTAAATGAATTGTTAAAATTGAATAGTTTTCATTGGATACTATTTCTATGTTAACATGTGACTCTTGACCTGCCATTGTGTATCTATTCCTCTCAAACCCAGCTGGTCGAATCAGATGGCCGCTAGTCCTGATCCTGGTTCTGCTAAAGGTTTTTTCCTCACGAGGAAGTTTTTCCTTTCCACTGTCGCCTTCATGCTTGCTCAACATGAGAGTTCTGTGATGGAGTTAAACTCAAAGCTGCTCCTCGCATAAATAACGTTAAATTATTATTTTGACATATGAATGTTTCTGTTCAGTGTCCTGAGACGACTTCTGTTGTGACTTGGTGCTTTATAAATAAACTGAATTACATATTTTAATATAAATATAGATATAAAAATGGATCTTACTATTCATCTGTATTATAAACTTCACCGTGACTTGGACTGTGGCTCTTGCAGCTAAAACTCGTGCAGCAAACGCAGAATCAGAAGATTTGATTGTTTGTAATACACAGTTCTGTTAATTCCGGCAGTGCTGCTTTTCTTGGCTTCACTAATCTGCCGGCCTCAGATTGAGGCGGCATCTAGAGGAGGCCGACATGAAACGACTCCTCTCCAAGTGAGCGAGCAGACTCGTTTTACTGCGACTCGGAGGGAACAGATGGCTCCGGGGAGCAGGAGCTCGCTTGCAGGGCCTCTGCGCATATCATATCCAATTAAAGCTCTGCCAGCACATGCTTTCCAATTACAAGAGATTTACTGCCCCGAAGCAGGTCTAATCCAGCAGGACGCAGCAGACACAGGGGGAGCAGGCAGGAGACAAACAGCAACAAGGACAGAGTAGGACAAGTGGACAATACGGGCAGCGGGTGGACGAGAAACGAGGAAGATAAGCCAACGGGGAAGTGTGGCGGCAGCGGAACAAAAATCAGAATTTCACATAACAGGGAGGAGGAACTCGGTGACAATCGGAGCTCGGTATTTCCTCAAACAGCAAAAACACCCCCCCCCCATAAAAAAATAATCATAACTCCACTGTGTTCCTCACTAAAACACGCAGATGAATATAAAATAATACAATCAATAAATAAAAACTTGACATCCCATGAAGTAACGTCTGAAGAAATGTCCGCCGCCTTTCATAGTTTTAAACTGAGGTGATCCCGTTGGAGCCAACTTGGTCAAATAAATACAAAATACAAAATCCTTTAGTGCTCAAATATATGTGAGGATGACTCTCAGCTACTGCCACGAAAAATTGTAGCTCAGTAAATGTTAAACTGACCGAGTTACGGCCATTTTTGTGTTAGCTAAAGTCAATAATCATCAGCCATCTTGAATTGTGTCCGCTCTAAAAAAAAAAAAAAACTGAGTCGTGTTTATCCACTGATTACTGCCTGAGAGTTTCATTAGGATTCAAATGAACAGACAGACAAATGTGAGCAGAGTGAACAGGAGGGGGCTCAACACACAGCCCTGAGGAGTGCCAGTGCAAAACGCACAGACAAGTTTGTATTTCTATTCTTAGTAGGTCATTGTGTTTATGTCGATTATGATCTGAAACCATGACCTTAAACTTTAGCTCTAAAGCTAACCCCAAACACAAAAACGACGTTCCACCATAGTAGGACCAGACTTTGGTTCCCGTAAGATCCATCAGTCCTGACAAGATCGGTGATTGTACCAGGGAAGGTCCTAAAAATGTACTGCAAAACCACGTCCACATGGCAAAAACAAGATGTCCTTCCCCTTCAGGCGATAATGTTCTACTTCCTCTACAGAAAGCCTTTCATGCTCCGGTTATGGTGGACTGTCTGACAGAGCGCGACATGTGGAGGACTCATGATGCAGCGTGTGGTGCACGAGGAGGACACTTGAAGAGCTCCGCTCCGCTATACGTGACTTTTATTACAGCGGGCTGCACTGAGTGTGGCGCCAGACTGAGGAGGAGGCGAAGCACGACCCTCAGGAGGTCTCTTTACAGCTTCTTCAGACACCTCAACTCTGTGCCTTCGCCCTTTAACACTTCCTGTAAGAGAAAAACCAAAAGAGGACGCGAGACACACACGATGGACTCTCCTGACACTCAGAGACGCACTGTGAGGTGGCTCAGAATAACAAGACGAGTGACTCGAAACTCTTGGAGCAGCTGGGCCAAGAGGCCGAAGAGGAACGTTTAAGAGCTGAGTGTTTCAGGAGAGCTGGACGTTGTTTGACAGAAGCTTCGTCGCAGCGCTTTGAGTCACGTAGTGAGTCAGGCAGCGAACTATTTGTGGGAAAACCCGACAAACGTACCATTAAACGACAAAGAATACGTTTGTCTTTGGATATAAGCCTAAATCAAACAAAACAGCTGCTTTAACGAGTGAAATCTTACAAAAAATATATCGATTATCGTACAGTGCATAACCAATAACTGTCCTTTTTAACGGGAAACATTTTTATTTGGTCATTTTGTGCCACATCTGGTCTTTTATGTTGTTTTGCATCAACTGTCAGAGTGCGAGATGTTTATTATCACCTGCCGCCAAAAACTGAACGCAACAATTATGTTTTTGTTCGTGTCTGTTCAAAAAGCTTTTGAACTACTGAATGGATTTAAACGTTTTAAGCGAAAATTGTGTGAGAGTCATCCACAACTCATACTCTGAATATAACGTTTACAATTTAAAGTGTTTATTTAAACAACAAGATTATAAAATGAAAGGATGTAAGGCGTCTAATTAAACAATAATTACATGTGTAACATTTACATTTATGTACTCTCATCACATGTGGTAACTTTACCTGAATTTAAAAATATTAGTTACTAATTAAAAATAATTTATACATACCTTAATACTAAAACTAAAATCAAAAATATAAACATTTGTATAGTGGCAAATATATATTTAAAAGTAAATTTTAAAACATAACGTGTGCAACTTTGGAGTACATGTACTGGAAAAACATCCTTTAGATAATGTGCATGAAAAATGATTGTTTAGAGCATTTTAAACAGAAAAAAACGGGATTTTACAAAAAAAAAATCTACTTAATGACAAAAATGACAAATGTTACAGATTAAACCAGCCACGTGGCATTTGAAAACTGTTGTTTTATATAATAAATAAGTTCACAGAGTTATTTAAGCTCTTTAAAACTGGTCTAAGTGAGTTTAATAGTTTAGATGTCGGCGTGAGAGAAAACAACTTTACTCACATTTGGCGACAGCCCCGAGGAGGAGGAGGACGCGTAGATATTTTACTAACATGTTTCCGGTGAGTCTGCGGCTCTCGTGAGGAGGTTGTGGAGCTCCGAGCGCCGGAGTCGTGAGTCTAACGGAGCCGGAGCGCGACCGTGTCCTCCAGGACGCTACAGGTGGCTCCGAGCGCGAGACGGACGCGTTAAAAGCTGCGGCGCCTGCTCCGATTGGCTGCTCCTCCTGTCACTCAGCCTTACTGTACTGTGGCTCCGCCTCCTTCAGGGGACGCGATGCAACTTTATTTACAACGCACTTCAGGAACAACACCAAAGTGCTGTAAACTTATGAGAAAACACAAAATAAGCAAATAAATGTGTATAATAAAATGTAATAATAATAATAAAAAGAAAAACATCTCCAACTGAGTAAAAAGCTAAAGAGGAGGGAATAAAGTGTTTTAAGAAAATGTTAAAAACAGGAAGGCAATGTGAAGAAGTAGAAATAAAATGACTAAAAAATTAATAAAATAAAATCTATTTTAGCTCAGTGTTTAAATAAGCCACACCTTTTCCTCATTGTGCAACTTAAACATTACAAAGTTGTTGTTTTTTAATACAGTATGACAATTATTTGTAAGGTGAAGGGTTAATTGCTCTTGTAAATTCATGGAAAAATCATCCAAACATTAACAGTTTTTATTGTCACGCCACGCCAAAGAATGTCCAGTCATATTTCACCTTTCTGAAATATCAGTATTCAATAAATTTCACAATAAGTTACACACGGGGAAAGAATTTAGAGGCCACGCTGTAAACCCAACCCCGAATGTTTGCAACAATGCAGAGCAACTCAAGGGCAGAGCGCTTTTGGATTTTATATGTTTTTTTTTATCTCTTTATCCGTTCCTTGAGGTGCAGGATCAAGCAGCTTTTGTGTCTCAGATTTACTGCAGCAGTTTATATTAGGTTCGTCCTGTTGGAGCGTCATCCAGGAGGTCACCTCGGCTTTAAAATTCATTTGACTTCGTGGCATTTCAACAAGCACGTGCAACGAATGCAGGAGAATGGCATGGGAAGAGTAAGGCCCGTGTTTCTTTCCCGGGCTCTTTTTAGTGGAAAGTGTTTTATTTTCATTTTTAAGAGTCGTGTTCAAAATACACGAGAGAGAAACTCAGACTAAACTCCTCTTTCTGTCCTCTGTTTGTAACTGTGCAGCAATAAACGATCTGTTGACATGAAGAAATATCACAAAAAGAAGCCGTCACATGCATCAATCAAAAATGTTCTCAGTGTCACAAACTTATCTCCCCCTTCCTTTGCTGCTTTAGCTGTTTTTGTCCTCTTCATATTTCTGTTAAATGAGCTTTTGCACGATGGGAACATTTTAAATTAAAGAGATCATTTTTGAGCCATTAATGGGCATTCTTTTAAAAAGGAGGAAAAAGAGGTACAGAAGTGGCCGAAAAGTTGTTTTTGTTGGAATTGAATCAAACGTCCAGAAACTGTAGTTAAAAGCTAAAATAGCCAATTGGTAGCTAAAGGCTACAATTAGCAGGGCAGTAGCTAAAAGTCTAAGTAGCGCAACCATAATTAAAAGCTGTAACTAAAAGCTACATTTAGGACAGTAACTAAAAAGTAAAAACAGCACAACCATAACTAAAAGCTAAAAATGCAAAACTGTAGCTAAAAGCTACAAGTAGCAAATGAGTAACTAAAAGCTAAATGTAACAAACTCATAGCTAAAATGATTAGCAAGACAGTAGCTAAAAGTTGCACAACTGTAAAACAAAAAAGTCTAACTGTAGCTAAAAGCTAAAGTTAGCAAGATAGTAGTTAAAAGCTAAAAACAGCACAACCTTAACTAAAAGCTAAAATTGCTCAACTTTAGCTTAAAAGCTACAATTAGCAGGACAGTAGCTAAAAGTCTAAAGTTGTGCAACCATAATTAAAAGCTAAAATAGCCAAATTGTAACTAAAAGCTACAATTAGGGCAGTAATTAAAAGCTAAAAACAGCTGAACCATAACTAAATTGCAAAACTGTAGCTAAAAGCTACAAATAGCAGAATAGTAGCTAAAAGTTTAAAGTAGCGCAACCGTAACTAAAAGCTAAAATAGCCTAACACTAGCTAAAAGCTAACGTTGGCAAGACAGTGGCTAAAAGATAAAAGTAGCAAAAGATGACAAAAAGTAGAGCCAGTTTGCGGAGACAGATGTTAAAGAGAACAATCGATGTTTTTGAAGGAACTGAAGAGATCTCAATGTGTTTTTTGGAGAGAATGTTTGCATATAAAGTTTATTTTTAAAGTTACAAACGCTAAAAGTCTGAACATTATTCTCAGTCTAGACGCATGTTTGAATACATGAATGGATAAAATAACTGATTGTAAAATGGAAGAAACTAAAGGGAATTATTTTAAGTAATGTGTGGTTGTTTTTTTCCGGCTGCTTCTTCTTCAGGGGTCCACAGAAAATTAACTCACACAAAGACTTGCCGATTGTTTTTACGCCGGATGTTTTTCCTGCCGCAGCACCGAGCTGCCGCAGCACCGAGCTGCCGCAGCTCTCTGTGTGGAGTGGGGGGGCTGCCATCTGGGGTTCCCTGGGTGGTGGATGAGCCCCTTGCTCGGGGGCCCAGGTTGGAGCAGACGAGGGTGGAGACGAGAGTGGGTGCTTCGTCTTTCCCATCCACATTTTGATGTCCATGCAGGGGGGTCGAACCGGCAACCTTCCAATCACAGGCTCGCCTTCTCTGTCCACTGCACCACCGCTCCCCCCTAAATGATTTCTCTGTTGATGTACTAAAAAATAAACTGAACCACCGCGTAACACAGTGCGTCAATATATCTAATAAAATCAATATATCATTAAAAAACTAATATAGCCTTTTTAATGGGTTTGAAATCTTTACCCTTTAAAAAACAAATTTAAATTCCCAGCAGATAAGAATAACAGTGTCATAAGTAAAAGATAATAAACATACGTTTCTTTACAAGTCATTGTCAGAGGCATCGTCAACACTTGTTGATTGTCTATTAGTCAAATTTACAAACTTCAACTATCAGAACAAAACAATTTTCTTTTTTTTTTATAACTTTTTGCTCCTGGTTCTAAATTACATATTATCCTCTTCAACAGATAACGTTGTTTTATGAGAAGCAATCATTGAAAAATACCTAAAACTGTAACGTTTGCGTCCATCAGAAACTCGACAGATCATTAAAGAATGAGCGAGCTCTTCGGTAGATGTTTCAAAGAGCTGCGGTTCCTGAGCAGCAGCAGTGAATCATTCCTCTCTGCACCCTGACTAATTATTTAATGTGAAGTATTTCCCCTCATTCGCTACGAGCTGCCACGGCTCAGTTTTTATGGCTCAGGTCTGACACGCTCTTGTGAAAGAAAGAAATATCAAGCAGAACATAAACACACCTCGCTGACCTCGCCCGTATCTCGTGCAAATAATGAACATTGCAACATATTTTAATACTTGGAGCTGCTTTTCATCCTGGCGGTCAACTAAAACTACCGCTGCTGATACAGTTGTTTCAGTTCAGGCCTGGAATCTGGGAGGAAAAAAAAAATTACCTTTACTAAAAAAATTATTTATTTTAAGAGTTTTACTTCCGTTTAAAAAAATAAAAAAAAAACTCCTGTTTACTAAATTTAGGTGTAAAAAGACGCCAAAGTGGTAACAAAAAAAAAAAAGTGTACGTGGGTCAGTTTTTTACTTCCTGCATGGATTAATGTTTTATGACACATTCAGTCATGTCCACCTTCCCCGGCGCCTGCACCTTTTGAGTCACCAGAAGAGAAGTCGTGTAAAATAACGTGTTCCAGCTTAGAAACATCCCTCCAGCTGTTTCTGCTCCAACTTGAAGCCATAAAAAACTGACAAAAGTTCTTCCGTGTTCCTGCTTTTAATTTGTTGTATGTATCATCTACAACATAAATAAGCACCTAATGTGCATTATTCACTACTTTTCTAAAGGTCCACCACTTCATTTGTAATAAATGGGCAAAATGAGCAGGACTTTTTGTTGCCAACAGTTACAGGTCGTTTGTTTACAATCGAACATGGACGAGTATACTTTGGACCGTCTCGATGGATACAGAGTCTGTAAAATAACCCCCGGATGTAAATCGACTAGAGGGAGGACGATGAAATCAGAGACATCCAGGCCAAACAGAAACGGTGGAGATGTTCTCTCTTCTTCTGAAAAGAGACGGCGACTAAAAGCTGTGAGGACGAGTCGACAGAAGCACAGTAATTAGAAAGTAATCATGTCATCCATTCTCTTTTACATGGTTCTTCCTTTTCGGGTCACAGGAGAAAACAAACGCATGCACAGAGAGAACATGCAAACTCCACCCAGAAAGGCCCACAGCTGGGATTTGAGCCGGCGACCTGCTAGCTGATAGGCGGCAGCTGTACCAACTGCGCCACCGAGCTGTGCAATCCTGCCACTCACACATTTCGGGTCATCAAACAAAAATAACCACTTGTAACCCACTAAACCCAACGGCTGGTTGTGCCGTCCTCGGCGGGAACGACTGGAGCCGAGCGCTTCTGATTGACAGCTGAGTAATTCTGCTCGTGGGATCGGGTCGTTGTTCTGCAGCAGAACCCAAGTGATGACATCATGGCCAGATGTTTTCCTCCAGGGAGGAAGTAGAATTCGGGTCGAGGGTGAGGTTCTGCCTCAAGTGGAGGAGTTCTAGTATCTCGGGGTTTTGTTCACGAGTGAGGGAAGAACGGAGCGTGAGACTGACACATGGATTGGTGCAGTGCCTGCAGTATTGTGGACTCTGTACCGGTCCATTGAGGTGACGAGGGAGCTGAGCTGTAAGGCAAATCTCTCTGTTTACCAGTCGGTCTACGTTCCTCCCCTCACCTATGATCACGAGCTCTGCGTAGTGACTGAAAGAGTGAGATCGTGGATACAGGAGGTTGAAATGAGTTTCCTCTGCAGGGAAGCTGGACTCTCCCTTAGAGACAGGGTGAGAAGTTCAGTTACCAGGAGAGACTCAGAGTAGAACCTCTACTCCTCCACATCGAGAGGAGCCAGTTTAGGTGGTTCGGGCATCTGGTAAGGATGCTCCCTGAACGTCTCCCTAGGGAGGTGCTTTGGACATGTCCGACTGGGAGGAGACCCCGGGGAAGACCCAGGACA